CGAAAAAGAACCCGTGGGAAGATATCGAACCGAGGGACTGGGTCGATGAGGGAAAAGGCAAAGCGCCGAGTGAGACTTGCGACTTATTACTCCGTAGAAGGGGGGTGGGTAAATCGATCCGGGGAGGGGTAAGTCGCGGATATGCCAAGAGCCGGGAACTTGTGCACGCTCAGAGATTTCGCCGCGGGTTTGTATCTGACAGAGCGCAATTGAAAATATGGAAGAAGAAGAAGAAGAAGAGAGGATCAAGGGGCCAGATGAGCCGGCAGGATTCCTAGACGCGTTTATGAATGAGAGGCCACGCATGCAGGCAAGCACTTCGAGGAGCATGATCGGAACGCATCAGACGGACCCCGCGCACAAAGAGCCACAAGGAACCGGGCCAAGCAAGAGGGAGCCACCTCCGCTAGAAGACGATGCCTGTTCTGGAAAGGCTGTCGTCATACCAGGGTACCAGGCGACCCTTCATTGCTTGGCCCGGGGACAAAGCTTCTACGGAGCACTTGATGAACTAACATTGAACCTACTTGACACTTGCACTGCCACTCTTTGTTCCCCGGTCTTCAGGTCTGCAGGAGGCCTGGGTCTGCAGGTAAGCAACACGCGGCTATCAATTGGTGACTGGAACTGCTGCAGCCTGTACGGAGTTGACTGAGACGCTTCGAACTGATCCCGTTGCCGCATATCCGACATGCCGCCCCTCAAGGGCCTTTTCTTTTTTCAGCTCAAGCTGGCCGAATCGCCACCAACGTCGCCACACGGCGTGCAGATGTCCTCACTCCTCACCTCACTTGAACGCTTACCTCGGCCACTTCTAGCCACAGCCGCGCTGACGAGAATATTCCATCTTACTTAAGTAGCCAGACTTGCCCCAAGAATCTCCGTGCGTGGCAAACTTGTATTCGTTCAAAATGTGGCTGAGGCTGACGCAGTGCCCCCGTCAACCTACGTGCTTCCAAATTCGTCCTCGCACGCAACGCAAATACTCATCCAGAGTCAGAGGCGTCCAGTAGAAGAGTGTATATCATGCCTATCCCCTACAAAATTTCACCAAGCATCATCTCTCGCTTCTACCATTCTATCTTCCCCATGTATTTGCAATATACAAGACAAAACGCTAGTCAGTTCAAACATATCCCAGGTCCTCACCAATTCGCCGCTCCCCGAATAGATACGCCGCTTCCAGACAATATCGCCCATGTCCCCTCTCCATACGTTTCTCGCTGCCATAGCATATGAGAACCCCATCCACGATGCCACTTAAAATACCTTCCATGGCACCCATAACCGAGTAGCCAATAAAGCTGGCCATGATGCCCACCACACACGCGTAGGCTGATCCGCGGACGCCCATGCCGTCGGGTAGCTGGATTCGGAGCTGCTTCGCAGTGATAACCCACCCTGCGAACCCGAGACCTGTTGCCATAATCAGTCGTGTAGCCACGAGAAGCAGCTTTGCCAGTCGATAAGGCAGTAGTCCGTTGGCTTGGCCACGAAGACGCAGTGCTCGGGGTGTTAGTGTCGTCGTGGGAATCGTGGGCGACACAATTTCCATTTGGTCTAGTCCTCTCGCCGAAACAGCAAGACTTTGCGAGTGAATGGCACTGTATGTAATTGTCAAAGGATTTGTAAGAGCAACAATCGGCGTGGGAATCCAGAATCCAGCCAGGTTTGTAATCGCTCCACCGATCCGCCTGGGAAGAAACAGCAATGGCGCTCGAATCAACAGTGAGAGTAATGTGGACTGGCAAATGCTGCCAAAGATTATCGTAGTCGCATGGCCAAGAGCTGCCGTGACGATTTCTCGGGATGGCGTCGCGGGACCGGCATTGCGGTGGAAATACCACTGCGAAACCGTAGCTGCAGTTGTTGCACGGTGAACCGCATTGATGACGGAGAGGGTCCACATGTACATGAAGATAAAGGCAGCCCCGAGCCACCAACTTGACATTTGAATGACAAACCTCACCAGTGACTTTGAAAAGTAACCACCCATGAAGACGCGCGTGAACATGGCCAGCCAAGCCCACGTCCACAAGACAATCAATGCAAGGCAACCAAACCCAATGAGGAGCAGACCTGAGTTCTGTGCCAGAATCTTGGACGAAAACTGCAAAATCTCAATGGCCTGCTGGATGGCCCGGCGGCCCTTGACAACCAGCCAGAGCCACAACACGCAAGATGCAGCGGGAACCAGCGATACCCAGCGCATGACGGAATCTTGGAAGCTGGATCCGTGTGTCCTTCCCTGGAATGATGAAATAAACGAGTACAGCGAAAATGACAGCATGATGACCGGCACTGCAATCAGAATTACGCTGACGAGCGGGCGAACAAACGATCGCAGCGCGGCAAGCCATATGAAAGATACGAATATGGCTACTACAGTGTCCACTGCCAGCATGTCAAACGACTTTTGAAGCGTGGCGTATATCGTGTCACCAACTGGGCTCTTTTGCGGCGAGGTGTGCAGCCAAACCAGCACAAATGTCGACAGCATTCCCGCGAAGCTGATGAGATATATCCAAGCAAAGAAAGGGTCATGCTTGAACAACTCGCCCTCGGTCAATAAATTTCCTGGTTGGGCAACCTCGTATTCCAGCGGGTCATTCCTCCGGACACTGCTGACATCGGACTCTGTTGTAGATGTTCTCCTCAAGATGAAGGGTTCCCGTTCTGACTGAGACTTGAATCTTTGAAACGGTGGCGGACTAGAGTCGGTTGGTGCTTCACCTCCTAGTAAAGATTCGGGCGGATCTTCATCTCCTTCCTCCTGGGAATCCAGCCCGACATCGACCATGATCTTGCTCTTTGCCTGTGGATGATTGCCAGCATCCTGATGCTGCTCTTCGCCTGATTTCGAAAGTTCCTCGTTTTCTTCAAACAATGTATCGCCGGCGAAAGGCGGCTTGTGCGAGCTCCTCGTGCCGTTCCAACTACTTCTGATGCCTCGGCTAAAGATGCGATCTTGATATGGATGGTCCACATCCCCTGTGCTGTCTTCAATGGATCCGCGACTATTGGCAGACTCGGTGCTCTCTGCAAGTTTGCTAGCTGCAGCTACCCGCCGGGACCTTTGCAAGGCAAACAAGTCTGCGGCTTCCCGCTCACGCTCCTCTTCGTCGTCCTCCTCCCGAAACTCATCGAGGGTACTGTGGAAGAGCGGGGCGTCTTGGGCTGCCGATATGCGCGAGGCAAATCCTATGTTACCAAACCTCGAGCCACTGCCGTTTTGTTGATAAGGATTGCCACCATATCCCCTCGATAGAAATGACCGATGCGTTGTACCTACCCTGCCGGCGTCTCGTTGGCTTCGGCCTGGCCTTGATGGCGGCCACTCGTTGGATCTGGGGTTATTATCGTTATCGCCCTGCCCAGCAAAACCCGAGAGTCTCGACTGTGACTGTGCCAAGAACCGTGACGCATCTGCGAAACCCAAGATTAGCTCCATCAATCACAACAGCAAGGTAAAATGGCCAATAACAAACATTCTGAAAACATGGTGCTGCGTGTCTTGCTTGTATCCCCTATTTCACCATCCACCCCCACAGGCCCCTAATGCTGTGAGGCCTTCTCCGACGACGAGTTTGACGAGTTGTGCCGTTGGGCAAACACGGTGATGGAAATGACGGATGCCAGGCCCGCCCCCGGGGCTCGAGTGCTTGAGGTGCTGTGCCGATGATGTGGAGTCGTCGTCTTCGACTGCGACCGCAGCTCCCGAGTAGTCTAGGTTTAGGGTATCGAAACAAGATGCAATAGCAGACGAGTAAGGCTTCTGATGGAAGGTATCGAAGCCAAGGGAAAGAATAGAGATGATGATAACAAAAGCGCCGAAAGCCGAAGCGTCGGGAGTTGTGGTCATGCGACGTGAAGCGAATGAGGTCGGGGCCCGGGGGCCATGGGGTAAGTACTTAGACCTACTAGTAGGCACGATAAGTGACTGGACTGTCAAGGGGCCAGGCTGATAGGCAGATGGAATGGTGGATACCTCTGGCAGTTACCTAGACCGGCGTGATGGTTTGGTAGGAACAAATGTACCGTGGTGTCACGAACTTGTGCCGTTTTGGGTGACGGCCAGGCGGTCAGCAGAATACGTCAGGCGGGGAGTCACACGCCCCACTGGCTGCTGGCCACTCGCTGCCAGCTGGACAATCACCAGTACTTCAGCACTCAAGCACCAGACTCGAGCACCAGACTCGACATGGATGGACATGACATGGAGCAGCCCTGGTCACTGGAGGCGCTGAGGATCACCACCAGTGCTTTCAATATTCAATATTACAAATCTACCCTCGAGACTCCATGTCCAGCTGGGCGATTTTTCCATTCGCACAGCAGAATCAATTGATGTCCATGTGGCTTGGGCAGTGAAGCCCGTGAAGCCCGCGACGCCTGCAGCTCTCTGATCAGTGATGACGCTTTGTGCGCCGATCTGGAACAACCCGCAGTCTGTGCGTGAGGTGACATATCTTTGTACCTGGTAGTTATCAATTCAAGTCGGGAATAACAAGATCGAGTACTGCTCTTGATTAAACTCCATCCAACTCCAACCTGCGCCATTGACGGAAACGATTCCAAATGGCAATGCTATTCTAGGAAATCGTAATGGGACGCCCCTACGCCTCACTCGCCGGATGGGTTGCAAGGCGACCAGTATCTAACGAAAACCGATTCTCCAAAACGGTTAAGCTTATTTATTAGTAGCTGTCAATCCTGGGACGCCCATCAGCCCAGCGGCGGCTATTTCGGGGGGGACGCGGCTGTCATGCTCTTCGTCCGAGTCTAGCGACGCCCGATTTGTATGGGCTGATTTCCTCGGGTGCTGATTGTGGAGGAAGCTGGGTATTCAGTGGCAGGCTTTGTTGTGCGGCGGAAATGCATAAATATCACGAGACGGGAGCTTGTCTGCGTCTGCGCAGCCACGAGTGACTGACAAGCGGCAACCCGAGTACGTGCTCCGTACAAGTAGGAAGGCAGCAACATAACGTCCCCTCAGCATCATGTCGTACCAACCTCAGGGATATCAGCAGCAGCAGCAGCAGCAGCCGCATTACCCGCCGCCTCCTCCCCATCCTCCTCAACAGCCACAGCAACAGCAACAGCACCATCCGCAGCAGCAGCAGCAGCAGCAACAGTCCTCGACCGACAGCGGCTCATTCCCCGGCGGCAGCTACAACATCGCCCACCGCGACACCAATGCCATCCTCAATGTGAACCTCCAGCCCGGCGGCACCGTGCGCTCCAAGTCGGGCGCCATGATACACATGTCCGGCACCATCCAGCTCCAGGGCAACATCAAGTTCTCCATGAAGAAGCTCTTCACGGGCGGCAGGATGTCGGAATCGACCTACACAGGCCCGGGAAGGCTGGCCCTCGGCCCCACGCTCATGGGCGACATCATCACCCTGCACGTCGACGGCCGCACGCCCTGGACCGTGGGCAAGGACACTTTTCTCGCCTGTACCCCCGACGTGGCCATGGAGACCAAGTCCCAGGGAATCAGCAAGTCCATGTTTTCCGGCGAGGACTTGTTTGTGTATCGAGTGGGCGGCCAGGGTCTGCTTTGGCTGACGAGTTTTGGGGCCGTGGATCGTCTGGACGTAAGTCGTCGCCGCCTCACCCTTTGTCGTGACGGGCCGTATCATGATCGGGGGGCTAACATTCCTTGAAGCTCCAACCTGGCGAGCAGCATATTGTTGACAACGGACACCTCGTGGCCTGGAGCTGCGACTATAGGATTGAAAAAGCTGGCGGTGGTGCCATGAGCAGCTTGAAGACGGGAGAGGGCTTGGTGTGTCGCTTCACTGGGCCAGGCGCTGTCTATGTGCAGACGCGGAATATGGACGAGTTTGACTCGTACATCAGCTCCCGTAGCAGCTCCTAGATGAATCTGATCAAGAAGGAGAAATCTGGCATCAAAGGATAAAAATGACCAGCCAGTTTACAGAGTTTGGTAGTGTTACTATGACCAATAATGCCGGTTTACGGCTACACCTCCGTAGCTCATGCCGCCAATTTTTCTCAAACACGACATCTGGAGTCTTGTCGTGCTAGACATGTGCACGTTTGTAATATCTAGATTATCATTCAAACACAAAAGGAGCCGGCTTTCAGGGGCATCGTTTGCACCATCTGCCCTGGAAAAGAATTGGCGCGCAGATCACGAATTACCATCATGATATAGCTCAATCCATCTCAAGCAATCACTTCCCAAACACACATATGGGGATCAGAGGGCTCTTCTGTTTCCTGTAATAAAATTCTTAAAAATAGACGGCGCGGTAAGACGCCCATTCGTCAACCAAGCTTTCCAACTTGCCGCCAATCCCACTACTGCAGGTCCCCACCCTTTAGTCTGGTCCGTCCAGATGTCGCAGACATGGAAGAGACATCGACCCCCATGAGCCCCGTGACGACGACAACTACAGACCCGCCCTAGGTCCGTCGCTGTCGACATCATCTGTATTGCTCTTCCGACACTCTGAGGTTTTTTTTCCCCTTTACCTCTATCGCCAGCCGTCGACATACCGCTTACCCAGCTCAGCAGCACTCCAACCCCATTGATTTGTCTCGGCGAGGTTTTCCGTCTTTCCTTCGAATTGTACAGTATACAGCCAGCAGCCAGCAGCCAGCAGCCCGACGCAGCCACACGTGCTCAACCGCCCATCGCTCTCGATAAACTCAACCCACACGACTGTATCCTATCCATCGGCCGCCCATCCCAAGTCGCCCGTCACCAAATCCCCATGGCCTCCTCGCCGTGGGACTACATCGCCAAGCTCGTCTGCATAGGCGACTCGGGATGCGGCAAATCCAGTCTAACCATCCGCCTCTGCGAGGGCCGCTTCTCCCCCCATCACGACGTCACCATCGGCGTGGAATTCGGCTCGCGCATCGTCCCCGTCGGCCCGCCGCACACCAAGCCCTCCAGCTTCCTCTCCTCCTCCGTAAACCCCCCCGCGGGGACGGCGGCGTCGCCCGGCGCGGCGGATGGCCTCCCCGAGCCGCCCCGGGACACCAGCAAAACGCCCCAGAAGCACATGAAGCTGTCCCTCTGGGATACGGCCGGCCAGGAGACCTACAAGTCCGTCACGCGCTCCTACTTCCGCGGTGCGAGCGGCGCCCTGCTTGTCTTCGACCTCTCCCGCAGGCAGACGTTTCAGCACGTGACGGACTGGCTGAATGACTTGCGGCAGATTGCGGAGCCGGACATCGTCGTCGTCCTGGTGGGCAACAAGGCGGACTTGGCGCAGCAGGAGGAGAACAAGAGGGAGGTGACGCGGGAGGAGGCAGAGGAGTGGGCGAGGAGGAACGGCGTGTTGGAGTATGTTGAGACGAGTGCCAAGAGCGGAGAAAATGTCGAGCAGGCCTTTATGAGGGTTGCCGAGAGGATATTTCACAACATCCAGGCGGGCAAGTATGATTTGAATGACAGGAGGTCTGGCGTCAAGGGGCCGAGCGCGGGTGGTAACCGGCAGGTGAAGCTGGGCGGGGACAGTAAATCTGCTGGTGGTGGCTGTTGCTGACCATCATGTCGAGGGATTGGCTTTATCCTTGTCCGGACGGTGTGGTTTGAGACTCTTGATGACGCAAATACACCAGAGCATGTATGCATGATACCCCTGTCATTGAACATCTTTCTGTTGCGCAATTGCTTCCATTGTGGGCGCGTCATTACTATCGTCACTGGATAAAATTGCATTCAAATTAGAAATTAATGCATAATGTAATGTAATTGCTTTGCTCACCACAGTTCAACCCACTTGTTACTCGTGTTCAAAAAGGAAACCATCACGATTGCATTAGTCGCAGAGTTATTCTCTACGGTAATTCTACACACACTCCATTTCTTTTATACATTCCCAGCCCGGCCCAAATATCATGAAACAAACCGCCTTTGACATGCCCACGCCATTATTTTGGTGGAAATTCCCTTTTCTTTTAATATATGGCATAGCTACAAGCCATAATGTGATAGATGTGTGTTTTGAGAGGAGTTTTGTTTGCGTTCGTCACCACGAACGAAAAGTGCCCTAGCGTTCACTCTCTGTGTCGCAGGATATAGCATGGACAACCCCGCTTAATCACTGATTCTCCAGTTATCGAACCATCTCATATAGCTATACTGCTGGTTGGGGCCGACCATTCCCCAGCAGATAGGCATGAAGAGGACGTAGAGACCAATGATGACAGCATACAAGACACCATATGTAGCGCCCTGGATAATCGTATTGCGGTTTCTGACGGTCCAATCCACAAGAAAGCCAAAAGTAAGGATGGCAAAGTACAGAGCCGGATAGTAGTGGTGCACGTAGGTGACACGAGCCATGATGACGAATGGCAAGTAGTGTAGGAACCAGCCAGCAACAGGGTAAATGCCAGAGTAGTGGATTTGGTCAATTTCCTTATTGTTTAGGTCGGTGAAGCCGCGTTGCCATCTCAAAATGTACCACACCACAACGAGTCCAACAATGCCGATGCCGATGGTAGAGCCCCAATAGACTAGAGGGTTTCCGAGAAGGAAGTACTTGACAATGTTGTCATCCCAGCCACACATGCGAAGGCCAACGTGCAGAATGGGCCACTGCCACCACTTCGAGGCAAGGTCGTCCTGCTTGTCAGGGTCGGGAACCAGAGCGTTGTTAGATGTCATCATGGCAACGTTGAGATGAATAAAGTCGTGGAAGAAAGGAGACTTGTAGACACCAGGGTCACCGGCAGGCAGTTTGTCATTCCAGTGAGCCTCAACGTTCCAGTGGGTGTATGCATCACGAGGGTTGTTCTCCTTGGTGCAGGAAACCTCGATCTGCTTGAAACCCCATTGAGGAAGGTTTTTATTGGTGCCCTTCAAATAGCAACCCAAAACTTCGTGCTTGAGGCGGAAAGCCGTGGTCAGAGTGCGGATTCGGCTGCGGTCCCGGGATGCAACGTCTCGGACAACCTCAACCTTCCAGTGATCTTTTTCATCGCCAACAGTAAGGTTGCCGTAGGAAGAGACTTCCTTGTCGCTCTTGGACATTGGCGCAGCGATGTCGTGGGAGTGCAGGTTACGTCCGGTCTGGGCGTGGATCAAACGGATGATGGTACCGTCGCCGATGAATCGAAGATCCGGGGACTCGGCGTCGTAGTCAGGCTCCCGGCGGTTGGGATAGAAGAACCAGTCGTTGTTGGCATCCTTGTGATGGTAGCAAGTGACTTGCTGTTGCTGAGAACCTTCAGGGTATGTCTGGACGTGGGAGTGAAGCAGACCGCCACCATAACCCATATTTTTGATAGTAGCACGAGAGCCGTAGGCAATTTCTAGTGGGCTGTTCTTTCCAACCTCTGTGCCCTTCAGGTTAGCCTGGAAAAGAGAACTCATTTGGGCGTCGCCGGGACCAGTGCGATCGAGGATGGCGAAGTGAAGGGCGAAGGAGAGGAGGTAGATGAGGAAAGGAACGACAATCAATCCAACAACACGGGTGCCAACATGAGCAGTCAGGGTCGTCTAAATGATGTTAGTGAGTACTGAAGGCGGACTTGGAAAGAATAAATGAATGATGCAGCTGGGGCTTACAATCGGCATCTTGGTGTTACCAAACTTGTTCCACAAGTCCTCAATAGTGTACAGGCCAACAAGGGCCGTGACGAATAGACCAACCAGCTTAACACTGCAGACACAACCAATGCTAAAACCAGTCATGAAGAGCCAGAAGAACCACTCAGGCTCGAAACTGTTGTGGCGCTGATTGTGGAACTTGGCCCAGCAAAGGGTAGTAGCCACGGTACCGCAGAGCAGCATAGAATCGAGGAGGATGAAACGGCTAATAGTGGTGTATGAGTTCTCGCAAAGGACCATCAGTGTAACAAGCCAGACAGCAGGTCGGCGGAGGTTAAGTTCGCGGGCGGTGTAGTAAGCCATGGGAATGCAGACGATGCCAAACAAGGCATTGAAGGCACGCATAAAGGTATAATTGACATCCTCGGGGTACTTGTCGCCAGATTTGAACTCGAAAGATCCATTGTATCCACCAAGAACACCAGACAATCCAACAAGCATCTTTCCAAGAGGGGGGTGGACATCGAAGTAGTATTCATGCTTGATGTAGTAGCTGCCGAATTTACCAAAGCTGTGATTCCCCAAGGTCAGCAATCATAGCTGGGATGAAGAACGCGGCAGAAAGCTACACGGAACAAACTTACTGAGCCTCATCCCAGGTAACAATGTCGCTCAGACCAATCTTCCACAATCGCGTAAAGAATGCGAGGGCCGTGAAGATGAGCGGAGCGATGATGTGTTCCCACTCCACGAAGGTGTCAATAAGGTTCTTTTCTGCCTATTTTGATGGTCAATTTTCAATCCGCCGTGAGCATCTTCAGCATACAATCATCTTCTGCTTCGGTCTCACCTTCTGAGCTGCCTGTTTCTTGTTGTCCGTGGGCTGAGGTGCAACGGGAGCTGGAGTGCCGTTATTCACAGGACGCTTCCTCAGCCCCTCGCCGACGTCAGCGCCGGAGGCGACGGCGGCCTTTTCGCCTGCCATGATAAATGGATTGAAATAAAGCTTATAAAAATTCGACGCGACTCATCCGGCGTGGAACAGGGAGAAGAGACACTATCGGGCGATGGCAAGCCCAAAGTGCCAATTGTGTTTTCGAAGCGAAATGGGAACAAGGTATTGGGTGACGGTGGTGAGGAAGAGTAAACGACGGGACGAGCTAGGAGAACTCAAAAAAAAAAGATAAAAGGACGCCCGTTGATCGACGACGGCAGGCTCGTCGTCAATGGGAAAAGAATAAAAAGACCCGAGAAAGAAGGGGGAACCGATGCTCAGGAGATGGCAAGGTTACCAAGAAGGGCAAGGAGAAGGGCAAGGAGAAGCCAAGCTGGCATTTGATGTCGAG